CGCTGGGAGTCATTGAAGTAGGCAGGAACGGTGATGACGGCATTGGAGACTTTCTGTCCCAGGTACGCCTCGGCAATCTCCTTCATCTTAGTCAGGACCATAGAGGAGATCTCTTCTGGGTAGAAGGTCTTATTCTCTCCTTTGTACTCCACCTGCACCTTGGGCTTGCCTCCATCACTGATCACCTTGAAGGGCCAGTGCTTCATATCGGACTGCACAACAGGGTCTTCGTACTTCCTGCCAATCAGCCGCTTCGCATCAAAGATGGTGTTATTGGGGTTCATGGCCACCTGGTTCTTGGCTGCATCTCCAATGAGCCTCTCCGTGTCAGTGAAGGCCACATAGCTCGGGGTGGTCCTGTTGCCCTGGTCGTTGGCGATGATCTCCACCTTGCCATGCTGGAACACCCCCACACAGGAGTAGGTGGTGCCCAGGTCGATCCCAATAGACACTCCCTTGGGTGCAGACATTTTTCCGTGTGTCTACAGAACAAATAAACCACACATTTTCTCTGATACACATTTAACTGCTCAGTTATGAATACATCAGATACTGTAGTTCAAATAATTTCTGCTGGAATGTTTGATTTTTAAACTCTCCACATGAAAATTAAAGTATAAAAGTCTCATTCAGACTATGAGGTGCAGGTTTTTCTCATAAAGTGGAGCAGCAAGGACAGCAGTTCCCCAAGACATCATTTTACCCCATTATTACATGGTTTTTTCACCTTTCCAGTACACTTTGTAAAGTATACAAGAAGTGCAACACATTAATTCTAAAAATCAGCACTTTCTTTCCTTACACATCATGTATCTTTTCAGCTTTAGCAATTTAGATTTTTGCACATTTGTAAAGTTCAGTCACATTATCTAATCATTGAACCAAAATAATATTAGATTAATCTTTGTTTTAAATGTTGAAACATTTGTTTCCTAACTGATCAAATAACTTTCTAGACGTGTTACATTACTTTTCAACAGCTATGTAAACTATGTGCTGTTTATGTGTCAACTTACATTTTAACAAAAAGAATGTATCAAGTTATTTTGCAAAAGCAGGACACAGTCTGTAGTGTTACAATATTTTAAGTTTGTACACATTAACGAAACACAAATGTTGAAAAACGATGCAGCAAACATCAGCTTAAAATGTTACACGCTTACACGCATTGCGGTTTACCTATAACGAGATTAGGGAGATGCTCCGATGATTGTCGGAAAAACCCGATTCTCGCTCGGCGTTCCGTCCGTGTGATCGTTCACTGTTCTCAGCGCTGCCCGGTGCGGCTCAGTCACCCTTTTTATTCACTTGCCACTTGCGTTTCAGAACTCTCTAGTGAAGTCGCAGCCAATCAGAGGGGGGCTTTACGTTTACATTAACTGCAGTTGCTAAGGCCCCCCTTCCAACCTCAAACCAGGGGGAGGCAGAACCTTCTAGACGGAGCTGGGAGTTGCTAGTTGGGAGTCAGAGCGGTTTATCGACTTACCGACTCTCGTACCCAAGATTGCCTCACTGGGGTCGAGGTGTGCACAGAGCACACAATGTTGTCGATGCACTTGACTGGCGCCAGATCCGCTGTAGTGCTATCACTGTAATATCAACAGTTGTTTTTGTCCAAGAGGTGACTTGTTGTATAGGAGGTTAATAAAAGTATTATAAAGCGGGAGGCAAAAAACAGCAACTGCAGAAATATGAATTAGGGTAGCACGGGGCTTGAATAAGTGGATTTAGTAGCAAATGCAATGCAAACAAAGTAGCAAATGAAATGAAAACAATAAATATTTAGATACTTAGATGAAACTCACAACTGGGCAAATACCTGGATGTTTGATGTTGACAAGTGCAGAGTATTATATATAACTTATAAGCCAGTAGCAAAAACTTAAATTATGCAGCATATGCAAAAACGACAAAACACCTGGTTTGAAGAGGCTGCTGATGAAAAACATTATTTACGCTGACACATCCCTTACAGCTTCTTGACAATGGGAAGAAGCAATAAAAATGCAAATACATTTTTCGTATTTAATGTTTAAAGCGCGGAATTTAAATGGAGACGTCAAAATTGTGCAATGCACTACCAAGACCTTATTTAGAATATTGTGAATAGTTTGATTGACACAAAACGCTACAAAACGCTTTGCAATCGTGGAATTAGTCCATCTAAGAGCGGAAAGGGACATTCTGGGATTTAGGAATATACTGTACAACACTGAAAGGCTAAATGCGCTGATTTTGTTTTTTTGTCAGAAACAAACTACCCTGAGGGCCTGATCCAAGTATTCAAAATCCTTCAAGGCTGAGTGCCTTTCTGTCGTTACTTATCCCTAGAAATTCATTTTCTTAACAATTTATTCCGTTTGTATATCAGCATTTTAAATTTTAATAACCTGCAAAAACTCTTTTGTCCAAAAAATCCTTTCTTGCGTATTAAGAAAATCTATGGATTGTAGATATTTTAAATATTCAACGAATTATTAATGGTATGACTTATTTATGTATTTATTCATTATATTCCAAAACCAAGGAATAAATGATCGTACTGAGTAGGCTTTTTATCCGCACATCTCGGAACCTGGTAATGTGTTCTTCTACTTATGGGTGAATCGGGGGTATATTTTATTGTGACACTTACTTCCGGTTCTGCACTTCCAACATGGCAAGCAGGAGAAGCTCGGAGAAAAGCCGTACCGGGACAGATAAATATTCAGTATTACTGCCCACTTACAATGAAAGGGAGAACTTACCATTAATTGTGTGGCTTTTAGTGAAATACTTCGGAGAAAGGCAAGTACTTATAACTTAAATGTCTTCTATGTGTTTGTTGAAGATTAACTACCACTTACTGATGAGCTGTCATTATTTCTGTCAGTGTAAATAAGCAGAAATACTGTGCTAACGTGACAATCGATACTTTTTATGTACCTTGTACTTTCTACTAAAAAATATGCGAGACACTGAAAAAGAAAGGTGTATCGTTGCCCATTCAGAACGTGTCTTGAGTTCGCAGTAGGTTTTCCAGTGTGCCTATATAAATTATTCATTGACTGGTGTTATTAATTTGAATGCAGCAGATCATTTATATTAAATTAGGTTCTTGTTCTCGTAGTATTGTCAATGGCCGTTTATGTGTCTCCTGTAGGAGCATTTTCTTAATTTTCCGAGCAAATCTTTTGGAGAAAATATGTTTTACTGCCATTAAATATGCGTTCTCTGCAAAAGCCCCCCCACTCTGGAGGGAGAGAGTTAAAACGGTGGACGTCTCTTGACTAACTTGCAAATTTACATCACAGACCTCTTCAATTACTTGGCTGGGGTAGACGTCCTCCACCTCAAGAATAGGTCCCCATTTAAGTTCTAAATCAAAGCTGCCAATAGCATGCAGAAGACAAATAAATGTGTTCCTTTCGTGGGTTATGTAATGCTTGGTGCAGCACTGACGAAGTTTAAAAAGCCTGAAACATTTTGCGTAATGTCTGTTAAGGATTATATTATTTTTTATTACAGTGAGTGCAACTATGAGATCATTATAATTGATGATGGAAGTCCTGATGGGACACTGGAGATGGCAGATCAGTTGCAGAAGATATATGGTTCAGATAAAATAGTAAGTGGAGCTATGGTAGACATGGGTCTAACAGATTGTGTACACGGTATACATGTTGGTGCTGGTCGCTTTAATTAACACGCCTATTGTGTGTGAACTCACGTGTAATTTTATTTTAGTGCTAATGATTATTTTCATCCTCCTTTCTCTGTTTACACCATTCTCTGTCTTCTAATAGTGGTCATGATCCTAGACATTTACATATGTTTTTCAGCATAGATGGTGAATGTTAAACAATGTGTTCAATGTACACAGACAAAAAAGCACAATTGTATGTGTGGTTGATTAAGATCACACTTTAGATTAATACAGGAAAATAGATTATTCCAAAGGGTTCACAATTTTGTTCTCAACAGTAAGCAGCAGATACATGGAATATGGGTCTAGAATAGGTTTGGGAATTTGTCTTCACAGTTATTTCACAATTTTTGACCTCTGTGAAGTTTTTGTGCTGTATCTTGTATTGTTCTGTTTGTCTTTGGTTAATGTTGTAATGGAATATAAAGTCACCTTACAATCATCCGTCATAAAATATGGAGCATAACAGCGAGCACAGAGTAATTAGAACATGGAGCACAGAGATACAGAAGTGGTTCTCTTGTCATTTTAGGAGATAAGTGTGTCAGCTGCTACTGTAGGAAGAACTTAATTCAGATGGACTTCCTAGGAGGAGTTTAAAATCTCCTTTCACTATTATTAGTTGAAATTGTGCAAGCAGGTGAAAAATACTGTCTGAATTTGAAAAAGTCATCATCAAATCAGATGGCAGTTTGGCAAGTGCAACTCAAGCTCTTAGATCGTGGGTTCAAGCCTGTTTCATGTCACTGCTGAGAGTAGAGTTAGATTATTCTGCCAGGGCACTCAGTGATACAGTAGAGCCTGCGGCCTCCTGGGCACTTGCAGGATTGTGGTGGTGTTACTGCAGGGGTTGTGTCTCTTCTCCTGCTGGCGCTGAACCTCCAGTACTGGAGTGCACTGACTGTGTCGCGTTCGAAGAAGAGTGGTTCGAAGTTATGCAGGTCGGAGGAGTCAGTATGCCCTTCCTCATTCTCCCCTATGTGCGGCTGCAGGGTTTGTGGCTACAAGCCAAGAAAAACCCATCACTGATTATACCACAAAATTGTGTGGGTATGACAAAAACAACTGGCAATTATAAATGTATAACTAAGTGTGCTTATGAGAAGAATAGCTTTCTTCTCTGGCAAGTGAATCAGTCTTGTCATATTACACAAGCTTGTAATTAATCAATGAAATGCTCATGGAGTTTCTCCAGTCTTGCAATCTCTGAATTTCTTTTTGTTTTGTCTTGACAGCTTCTTCGACCTAGAGCAAAGAAACTGGGATTAGGTAAGGCATTCTCATGCTGGTGGCTAGTGATAATAGTTTATAGACTTCTGTGAAGAGACTCTTCTCCTAAGGATCAATGTATTACATTCATTCCAAACATTTGTGATGCAGAACATTTGTTGTCAGTAATGAAGAATTTAAAAGGATAATGTTCACTTTGCATTCATTGATTGTAACATGGTATTTGACTTTTTGTGCAGGGACAGCTTACATTCATGGAATTCAGCACGCTACTGGGAATTACATCATAATTATGGATGCTGATCTCTCCCACCATGTAAGTTGTTGTCTGTAAGAGAAGCTTTTAAGCTCAGTTAGTTTTCAGTTTAAAAGAATGTAGATCCTTTTACCTGATGATTTCATATTTTTTTGCATAGAATTTTAAAAGAAACCATCGATTCTAATACTGATATAGTAGTTGAAGTGGACAATTCCATGAAAGTAACCCATTCACATCTAAAGTTGTTTCTTCGCTGTTAGGTCATATAATTGTAATTAAGAAGTTCAGTCAGTTTAATGATAACAGAATAGCTTAAAAGCGTATGTTGTGGGCTGAAGTTGAACTGAAAACCAAAATCACTGCATATACTGTAACAACAACATTTTGTAAATTAATTTTTATTTTTGTTTCTTCCTTCACTCAGCCAAAATTCATTCCAGAATTTATACGGTAAGTTATGACTTGTTTGTCGTTCATACAACTGTTTTCTGTTATCATAATATATGACGAAGAACTTTAGAAATTTACAAAATCATCTTTTAGTGCTGTGTAATTACTAACAAGCGACTGACCTGTTTGAGTATGATAATAGAATGTCCCCTTAATCACTAAAAATGCTCCTCTCCACATGTCAAAGGTCAAAACGTCCTGCACCATTCTGGGATTGGAGTAACACAGTGATTATCTACTTTTTCAGATTTCCCTTGTTCTTCTGAGCATGCTCAGAAGTAGTTGTGTAGACTTACAGTTCAGGTCACCTGCAGCTAAATAACCGAATGAAAACGGGATCAGCCCTATGGGTCTTGCTCAGCACCTCTGTCAGTTTAAGCCACACTGTTTTCAGTCTAATGGCAGACCTCTGCTCGGTTGTCTGACTTGTTTATTATTGGGTGTCCTTGAATTATAAGAAGTGGTTAGAAAATGGTTGAATGAAGAGGAAGGCTGTTTTAACACCTCTATCTATTGCTGTTTTAGAAAGCAGAAAGAGGGAAATTACGATCTTGTTTCTGGGACTCGCTACAAAGGAGATGGAGGGGTATACGGTTGGGATCTCCGAAGAAAACTCATCAGGTAGCTGAAAATGTCTGAAAAATCTGGATAAATTTATTAGTGGTTTTGTGAGGAAGCAAATCTGGCATGAGATGCCAGTGGTAACCAGGTGGTATTTTCATCCAGAAAAGATGAGTTGGCACGTTGTATGATCTACATAAGTGTGAATGTTACATTTGCAGACAAAGTATGTGCTTTAGTCTTTAATCTACTTGATGTTGTGTGTAAGTGTTGTAAGTGGACAAACATCATTGCAAAGTGGTATGATATGAATATTGGTATAAAAAATGATGGTATGGCATAAAAACTTCAATGTAAATTATCTTTATGCTGCGGCTCTCCACAAACTGAGGGGTTTAAAACGCGTATTGCAGAAGAAGAAAATGCTTGTTTCACTTACACACCAGAAGAGTTTGCACAAGTCACCCTTAATAAAGGACTGATCAGTCATGTACCACAAAGTAACATAATGTTTGTGACGTGAAATTACCTGGTCTGGTTCTGTGAGGGGGCTGGCAAGATCAGTGCATCATTCTCAAGCCCTGTAAGTTTACTTACTGATTTGACTAGCTTCAGTCTGGTGTGTGTTTTTGGTCATTAACCCTTGAAAAGCCTTCACCACTAAGCCACAAAGAGCATTACTAATTCTTGGTTTCGGCTTTGGTTTCCGAGGAAAAAAAGAAAAGCTTGATTCTTTTATCATGCTATGGGATATTCTGCTAAAATATTACCCCTTTTTTTATATGTTTACACAGATTTTTTAACGTGTTAAACAAGGAAAACGTTTTTGTGACAAAAGAATGAACAGTATCAAAACAACAATTACTGAAACAAGTCGTATTAGGAATTAAAAATAATTTAAAGGGCATTTTAGAATTTCAGCTACTCCTTATGGCAGCTTAAGTTTTGGCCTCCTCTTCCTTTTGCAGTCGTGGTGCAAACTTTGTGACGCAGGTCCTGTTGAGGCCTGGGGCATCAGATTTAACGGGCAGCTTCAGGTGAGTGTGGCATTTGTGGGTCTTCTGTGGCCGCGTTAGCAGGATAAAGGACAGTATTTGAGTTCAAAGTGAAAGTGGAATTGAATCACTGAATAAAGCTAGTGTACTATATGTATGTTACTGTGGTAGCAACACAATTGTTAATAATAATGTTATTGTATAGACTGTGTCAATGACTTGAAACACCCAGTTGTGTGGTGGTTAGTACTGCTGTTTCACTAGTTTCATTCTAGCCCAGGACATCTGTGTGGGGCTGCTTGTTTTCTGACCTCTCACCGAACAGATTTGATTGTGTTTCTAAATTGTCCCTTTTTCCATGGCTCTGCAGTAGACTGGCAACCTCTTTGAGGTTGTTTCAGTTCCACTCTGTGCTCTAAGCTTCATGGTAGGTCCGAGCGTTTCTTGAGTCTTGGAAACCACTTTCATGCTAGTGTCAAAAGGCCTGAAAGGTTTTGACAAATCAGTCCAGAAGGTTCCAATTTTAAGTGCCTCAACCAGAAAAGTCATTAGCTACAAGCTCAGGCTGAGCTCCATGATCCAGATGTCACTGCAAGTTCTGGTTCTGTCACATCACTAACAAGTGCTGTTAGCGTCACTGCTGGCACAGTTCCATCTGGGAAAAGGGATGGGAATAGTCATCAGGATACATTAAGCTCAAAGTGGCTTTCTTTTGATGTTAGCCCTTCTAATGTTCTTGAATGAAGTGAAGTTCCTTCTCCAACCTCCCTTAAAATCTAAGGGGCGGAACGGTGGCTCTGTGGCTAAGGATCTGCGCCTGTGGCTGGAAGGTTGCCGGTTCAAATCCCACGGCCGGCAGAGGAATCCTACTTCGTTGGGCCCCTGAGCAAGGCCCTTAACCCCAGATGCTCCAGGGGCACTGTACAATGGCTGACCCTTTGCTCTGACCCCAAGCTTCTCTCCCTGTCTGTGTGTCTGTGTCTCCATGGAGAAAAGCTGGGGTATGTGAAAAGACAAATTCCTAATGCAAGAAATTGTATATGGCTAATAAAGTGATCTTATCTTATCTAAATCTTTGGGTCTTCAGTTATCTTCCTTCCTGTTAATGCACGACCACATTCCTGTTTATTTTGTTGTTGGTGCTGTTAAACGTTTTAAAATGGCTTTGCCTGTCCATGCCAGGTTGTATAAGAAGGAGGTCCTAGAGAGGCTGGTGGAGAAGTGTGTCTCGAAGGGCTATGTATTTCAAATGGAGATGATTGTCAGAGCCCGACAACTGGGATACACTATTGGAGAGGTAGGGCATTCTTCGCTGGCCTGCAGACACTCTTTTTCATTCGTCGTTATCCTGGCCAGGTTGAGCAGTGGTGCTGCTCCTGGCAAGGGATTTCTTTGAATTTCAAGTTTCATTGAATTAAGAAGTTAAACCGATAGCAGTTTGTGATTTAAATAATAAGGAAATAATGTGATTTTTTTCTTTTAAAAAATAAAATAAGAGCCATTTTCCCTAAAAGCAACTAAACTCTTCTGGCAGGGTGATGTATCTTTGTATTTTACGTTGTCCCTTCTCAGTTATGTTATTAAAATTTTGGTTCTGTAAACGTGATAAAGATACGCCCCCTTATTTTTACACTGATTGTACTGTAACACTTTGATTTTCTGTTACATTCGATTTGACATACGACATGTCTTTTTTTTTTTAATAGGTTCCAATTTCATTTGTGGATCGTGTTTACGGTGAATCCAAACTCGGAGGAAACGAAATTGTCTCCTTTCTAAAAGGGCTGTTAACACTGTTTGCCACCACTTAAGGTTCAGTTCCATTTCTATTGTAACCTCTTAAGAATGTTAAAGAAATCTTTAAAGTTCTGTGTTGAAGAAGACTATTGTTCTCATGTACAGTATATTGTTCTGGTCTGCAATCCCATTATGTGGAGGAGTTACAAATTAATTTGTTCAGCATTAGCTGAAGAACTGTACTGAACCAAATGGGATCTGCACAGGAGCTGAAATGCAGTTGGTTTTAGTTACATGTTCCCCTGTTGAAATGCATAAAGCTGCACCTTTCCAAAATAGATGGCTAAGCTCCTGATTTCCTATCACTAATATTTGTTTGTCATACATTAATGTAGGGATTTAACTTCTTTGAATTTCACAAATGAGTGTATGGGCAGTTACAAATTGTTTTGTTGGTTTTTTTGGTTGAGTTGTTTCGGCTTTTTGTTGCACCAACTTTTTGCTTATTGCTTAGGTTGACCCTTAGATAAAACCTAATTTTATAGTATTACAAAGGTATTTTTGAAACCTGTTTGTTATTAATTCTAATTGTTGGGTACTGATTATTGTGCAATAAATACATAATCACATGCTGAAAACAATACAGAAGATATCCGTTTTCCTCTTTCGGCAGAACAATTAGAAATTAGTAGCCAACGGTTTATCAGTAAGAATTTAAATGTTTATATGTAACAGAATAATTAACTGGTCATTTGCAGGTGCCCTTCTCTTGTCTATTTCACTTTCCTGTTTTGTCTCCCTTTCTTACATCCAATTGCAGCATAATGGAAAACTCTTGATTATCATTGTCCTTGCTTTCACTCCATTCCTTTAAAAAACATTCTAGTGATGATGCAGGTAATGCAGAGAAAGAAAAAGGTCATAATTGACAGCTTAACTAGTTAGGTTTGCATTAATAAAAAAGCAGTTGTGAATTTGCCTGCATTTTGCCAGGCCGTTTTATTTTCAGATGTGTTCTGTAAATGTATTTATAATACTGTGACATGAGGATCTTTAGATAGCTTTCTATCAGACTGATGTGAATGAGAGAGGTCTCTTGTGTTGGCCATGTTCCAGAAACTGCAGTTTCTTTGACTATTGATACCACCTTGCATAGGAAAAGCAAGATACGAAATGGGAGATAGCATACAGTATCTGCTGGGTTTTGTTCCCACTAATCAATGTAATCGGATTATTTTCATAAATAAGCATATTTGTAGATATTTTTACTTTGATATCATAGAAAATTGTATCGAGTCATAATATAGTACCTACAGAAGTTTCTGACACTGGAGAGAAATAGTAAATTAATGCAGTTAATTAGGTGGAGTGCCAGAGGACACTGTGGCCCAGCAGGGGTGATCCTGTTTGACACCCCTGGTCAAAAAGGTAATTGATTACAGCTTTGAACGGATAATGACTGGAAAGACGTATACCTTAAGTGCAGGGCTTTGCCAATTGCGGTTGCGTCACAGGTCAGGTTCATGGAGAGCCCACACATGTTGTAGGAGCGGTCTTTACTATCCCCCGTAGAACAGCTGCATCTTTACTTGGTTAACAAGCAAAGCAAATTCCTTCCGGTGCTGTTAGTCAATGCTCAGAAAAAGCTCGTTATGCTGGTGCACACCTGGTTAACATTTCAAAGACCAGCTGTTTTCTTTTTATTCTGCGGAATATGGCCACTGTAGTACACTTTGAAAACCCTAGAAAGCAAATGGTAGTGTATCCCACAAATCAAGTGTATTTTTTCCTCAAGCTTGTAAAAACAATAAATATTTTTCATATGATACAATCTGTTAATTGCTTAGTTTTTTTTTTATTTTGTCTAATCTGTTAGTAACAAGAACATGATGCCAACACCTCAGACCTGAACATTTGTTGTGGACTTTGTATTCTAAAATAAATTATTTGTAAATTTACCCAAATGTATGCAAGTTTCTCTACATATACTCATATCAGCCAATATGTCGTGTTGTGGTAGCTAATCTGTAGAATGTACCAATCCCTTCAATTTGTCAATTTGTCATTTAATTTAATGCACTACAAAAAAAACAGAATTATGGGGAATAACTGTTAATGTAAAACAAAGTGTAAATGTGAGATCACCACAGAAATATGATTCTGCATGAAGAAAAGTGTAGAACAGTGGAATATGCCAGGACTTTTTCCACACACTTTTTTTTTACTATTTCTTTTTTAAAATCTTACTACACTTCCAAATTATAGATTGGCTTGATCTGTAATCTTCTGAGATACCGTCTTGGATGGAAATGTATTCAGTAACCTCTAACTTATTATATATTCCTTCAGACATCTCCCAGTGAAGTTGATGTACTGTAGTTACTTAGATCACTAGCCAGGTAGATACAGTTGAATGTTTATTGGTCTTCATCACATTACAGATTACTGTGATTGCAATTCTATGATGCTGTTATTTCCCATGGTGTCGGAATACTTTGTTAAATGGCCAGTGAATACATCACAAAAGATACTATGACAATATAAAAAAGAGATGGCACTGTGGTATTATTAGTAATAACACTGAAAAATAATAATTACACATGTCTGTCTTCTGATAATATTTACCTCTCATACATGCTTTGGCATTGCCATTATATTGGTTGCTTATTTAAATATTTTTTCTAAGATATAAATGAAGCTTTTAAAAAAAAAGTGTCATAAATTGTTAATGTGTAAAACACAGACATAGCCTGTCCTCTGCTGGTGGAGAGTTGAACTGCAGCTCTGGATGTCTCCTTTCCTCTAGGACAGACCTCTCTCCCCTTTGCTCCCTTTTCGTGTCTGAAGCTCATGTATTCAGCAGGAAAAGCACACTTGTCCTCCTTTGCCGTACTGTGCCCAGACCCCTTGCCTGTCTGGTTTCTTACCCCAGGGGTGGTTGTTCTCTTGCCCTCTGCATTGTCTGGAACAGTACGCACAGGCTCTCTCTCTGCACCACTTTTATTCCCACCTCTTTGCTATCTTGCTCCTCTGGACTCTCTGTTCAGATCCAGTGGTTCACTGTCTCTCTCCCCTCTTCCCCTCCTCCAGTCTTGCTGTCTTGGCCTCCTCCTGCCTCACTCTCTTCATCTGCCCTGGCCAACCTTCCACAGCACCCATAAGTTCCAGGGAAGATCCAGGTGATTGTCTTAAGATTTGCTCCTCAACGGTGGGTCCAACATTGGGAGCTGGAGAGCAAGGAGGGGAACCTTTGCAGCATTAGACGATCAGAGAGAGAGAGAGAGTGTCTTTATTATCCCCAAGGAGCAATTTGGTTTACATCAGCAGCCAATATAATGAGCACACAACCAAATGATGCACATAAATATGAATAAGAGAGTCATCTGGTACAAATGAGAACTTAAACCTGGTTGTTTTTAGATTGGGAAATCTGTGCCTGCATTCTGAGGGGAGTAATTGCGATTTATTATACAAAAGGTGGGCTCTAGGATGGAATAAGCTTTATACTCATAACTGATAGATGCAGGAGAGGGCTGAAAGATCTGCACCAGTGGCTTTCTGACGTAGTTTGACAACACTCCCCAGTTTGTTCTTACTGCTCAGATTCAGATTCCCAAACCACCAGATCAGGGAAAAACCTACATCCAGCAGTGTAATTTGGGAGTTGGAGGCAAGAATCTCAAAACCGGAGAGCACCGTCGATGTGGAGGCACTGTAGACTTTCTAATGAAAGATTTGCACACAGGTTTGAGTCTCTGTGTAGAAACCTTTACGAGAGCTGAATGAATAAGAGCTTTCCTGTGTTCTTAAAAAAAAGTTCACACCTCAAATAATGTGGGTCACGTGGTACCAAAGGTATGGTACCACTACATCTATGATAAAATGCCTTGCTGAATAAATGACACTGCAATTTTACTGCTTATAAAATTTGAACACCACATGCATAAATGCATAAAGTAGCCAAATAAGTATCGAGACACCACCTAGTCCCCAAGGAAAAACATAACTCTTTATAAGTTTAATTTTTTACTAGCTACTCCTTCATTGATACAGTCTAGAGCAAGGTTGCTCCTGAGACTCCTGTCCTTGAAGTCTGTAGAGGTCTATAGGTTTAGCCTACCTCTGATCTTAATTATGTAATTCAACTATTACATTCACAAGTTTAACCCCCTGGTTTTTAAGGTCTTAATTAGTTATTAATTGAAAATCAGTGTCTTGTGGGTTCCTGTCCTGCCTCTGCTCTTAATGACAAAGTTGAGCTGATATCAGAGCCATCTGGACTAGTGTTGGAAAATGCAAATCTAGTATCAGGAGGTAGAATCCCAGCTGGCTGAGTTACCTTGTGATCCCAGTCTACAGTGAAAGTAAAATGTATTTTGAACAGCACTTTTCATGACACATCATGTAAGGAAACTTCTCCTAGTTTTGCTCTGCTGGAAAAATCCTGCTGTTTCTGGGCACACTGTTAGGCTCACTCTTTCAATGCAGTGCACCCATTCAAAACGGGAAATGCTGCCTTATCTCATCTTGTCTCAGAGACTTAAGGAATAAAAACAGGAACAGGTTAAGTGTTGAGCATGAAGTTCAGATTGCACTGACTGGAAATATGCCAACCATTGTAGAACCTGTATCTCTCATGAACTGGAACCTAGAATGCCTATAACAAAATAAAATAGTTCAGTCATTTTCACGTTTGATGATTGATGCTCTCGTGGAACATTTATGGGATTGTTCAAATTGCATTTCTTGGACAGTGAGTGGCAGGAGTAATGGAAAGACCAATGTTTATGATGCTTTTGTTCCCAGTGATGTTGACTCCTACCTTCAACTTTCAGACCACTGTGCTACTTGGGTCTGATGTTATGATAATGGTGAAGGTGATAAGTATGGAACAATGTGATTCTGCTCAGGGGGTGGCACTTGGTGTCATAGTCTGAGGATGATTTGTTCAGGACAAGATTTTTCTTATTGCAACACAGGATAACTATACAATAAGGTTTTTCATAACTCCAAAAATAATCTTGATAGTTTTCTTTGTTTTGCATTGACACCCCTATGGCAAATGTGCTGTGTGTCTTGGAAACATGACTTTCTTCCAGTCTGCAGCTGCTCTGCCTCCTCCAGTTCGCAATACTGTGGGTCAGCCTAGGCTAGTCGGGTTGATATTTTAATAAGATAAATGACCAGCGCAGAATGTGAAGAAAAATGCATTTTCACCCTTCTTGCTTTCAGTAACTACTTTCTGCTAAGATGCTTGTGGCGTGTCGGTGATTGAAGTAATTGAAGTGGGAAGCACGAGCACAAACTGGGGTAGAGATGATGCCGGCTAACCGGGACAGCCTGTCTCTGGTGCTCTGCGAAGAAAGTGGAGTACCCAGATAAAGCCCAAAAAACAACTTCCCAAAGTTTGAAACTGGCTTTTCACAGTCTCTCAGCCTTCGGCTTGGGGAGCAACTTTAAAAACCCATCATTCAGCAAAGACTCCCAGGGATATGGAATACGCAGGTGTCAGCACATCTGCTACATCCCGGTGTTATTTGTGAAAGACCCCCTTCAATGTCTGACCCACGTCACCGTCTGCATAGGGAACACGATTCCGCCTTTGGAAACAGAAAGTTGCAAAATTAACTTAAATTATATTCCTTTCCGGTAAAAGGCATTGCTGTCTGGTCTTTGTAGTATAGTCTGCTTTGAATATGCAGCCAGAATATCCAACTGGAGCATACAGATAAAATTCATTTCTAAAACGCCATTATAATGATGGGAGATGTATTAGGTTTTTATACACACTGGATCTCCTAGTGGCAGAACTGCTTAAGATGCATGAGTCTGAACCCAGAGGTGTGCATTTTACCTCCACCTGCCGCACAGCGGGCACGCGGCCCGGAGACGGAGAACGTCCAGGCGTTACACGGCACGTGCTGCACATTTCGGGAAAAGTAGTTCGGGTGCACCCGGCGCAGTGATAGCACAGCGCCACCTGATCCCCAATGCTGGAGAGTTGTGAGGCACAGTACTCATCCGATCGTCGGCCGGTGGAAGGCGCCAGCAACAGCGTCAACGCATGCGTTTTCCTTCCCAGGGCCGACCACGGCCCCAGGACGCCCCCTACTGGACACGAAGAGCTACGTGCGTTGGTCTGCGCCTTCCTGCCCCTCTACAGTGTTGACAGTTGGCATGCCCGTTTGCTTTCGGCGTTTTGCGTTCCGCCATCCGAGTTGAGCGAGGGGCTTGAGGTAAGTGCGACTTTTACAAGCAGGTAGGGCTCGGTTCAGCTCAGTGGCTGTCTACCCCCCCCCCACCTTCTCCCCGCCTGTCTGCGGGGAGCCTTTAACTCAACTGTGCTCTCTGTTGGACAATGAGCTGCCTTATGCTAATCAAACGCATATGTCACTTCCGCTCTTTCTCGTACGCCATTTTGGACAGGGCAGGTTCGGGCTGGGGTTGTATTGTCTGTGGAAAAAAAAAAAAAATAAACCACAGGCGAACATTTATAATAGCCTCCCTCGTCCCAGATCCGAGACACCTAGATGAGTGACGGCGGCGGTCCTGCCCCAGCAGCCGAAGAGAGAGCGAAGGGCAGCCGCGGCTGGTCGGGGTGGGCTTCTCGGCGGAGGGTTTTTTCTGCGCTCCGTGTCTCTGCTCCGGCGAGCTCCCTCTTTCGGTCCGGTGTGTTCGCCCAGAGCGGAGAAGCGGCGAGTCGGGCTCCTCGCTGAGGAAGAGGAGGAGGAGGAGGAGGCGGCGGCATAGGAGAGGGAGAGAACGGAGGCAGAGGAGAGGAGAGGCCGCCCTTTGTTTCCACTGCGGGATTTCTGGACCCCACGAAGTCACCCAGGAGGGTCCCAGACAGGTAGGACTACCGTCGCCCCGCGAAGTCTCTGGCGCCCGGAAAACTGAGCGGTTTTGGGAGGGTGGGAGGAAAGGAGGAGCGGGTGGGGGGGGGGTTGTTTTTTTAACATTTTTTGGGGGACAATTTCTCCCTCTTTTTCGTGCGGGATCGCTGCGTGTGGATCGAGCCCCAGACGCCACGGCACAGCCCGAGCTGCCATCGCCGTGTTCTCCGGCAGCGACGACGGCGCAGAGACGGGCTGGGGTTCGCCTCCTCTGTCTGCGCCTCGGATCCGAGGGTTCAGCCGCGGTTTTCTCCTACCGAGGGGGGGGGGGGGGGGAGCTGAGTTACAGTGTTACATCGGAGACAGGGCTGGGGGGGAAAAACCCGCATCTCTCGAAGCCGGTCGGTGGGAGGGATGAAGAACGCTGTGAGATTTTTGCTGGAGTATACAATGTATACATGCAGCCTCCCCCTGCAAAAAAAACAACAAAAACACGCTTCTGGATCTTTTAACAAGTTTGCAGTTCATGCTCATTTAGCCACCTGGTGTGGGGTTTCGTTAAACTATATTCTCGGGAAATCTTAAAATGTCACTCCTATTGTTTCCAAACTACGCTGTGAGACTGCGTGCAATCAAACCTAGAGATCTGAACGCCGCTCTCTCCGGATTTGCAAGGAACCGCTGAGAAAAATCAAACCTCTTCTGTAGCTGGTGTATGTCAAGTCGTCTTGGCCATGCATGTGGCTGTATGGAGCCTGAACGCATTGTCTGTGCTTTTCCCCCATTCTTCTGTGCTGTGGTGTGTGTAGCATGTTCTGCCGTGTATGTGTGTGTGTATAGACGGAGCTGTCAGATGTGGTACATGATAATAAACCCATCTCCCAAGATAACCTCAGTGCATGTCTATAGTGAGCTTTACGAAGCCAGGAATGAATGGAAATGGCATCGTACGGGCAATTAATAAGGCGATCGTTATTTTTTTTTAGATTTTGGCAGTCGGGACCAGTTTTAATGGGTTTAAAGTTTGAGGTGTGAAAATCGGTCTTGTGATTCGCATGCCCAGGTTTAGATCTGGGACGTTCCTTGCCCGATACACGAACTCGCATTGTAAAAGCGCCAGAAATGACAGCCGTCTCTCCCAACTCCGGCGCTTTTCGCGTGTCACCGGCGAAGTCCAGACCGCGTGATTCCCCAGAATTGCATTTGCTTAAGTTTCAGAAACAACTGCGCGGCCCCTGTTTGTTTTTTGGGGGGTTTTATTTGGGTCCGGTGTGACAGATTTCAAACCCGTGCACGGCGCGTCCCGATCTGACATTTCTGTGGCTGTTTTTTTTTCCCCCCAGTGCGAGAGACCCAGCCCCCACCCAAAATGTACCGCAGACATGTCGTAGGATTTAGGATCTGTGCTGACTCAATAGGAGGCGCCATTCTGTAAGAAAGGGAGAGGCCGCGATGGCAGTATGTGGAGTGTTACATAACGGAAACAGTGGCGCTCACTAGCGCCATCTACTCGTATGGGAGAAAGCAAGAAGTGCTCAGTGAGCAGTCTGTAGCACACGTTGGCTGCAGTAGCAGCCATGAGCATGCAGGGCAGTGTGAGCTCACATAAGAGCTCCAGCCTCACCAAATGGGATCTAGGTCACGGGCTCATGGCTAGCACCTGGGCTGGGCATTTTAAAAGGGTCGAGCAAGCACAGCGCATAGCTGCCCCCTCTGCTGCTGAGGGAGCAGGCACGGAGAGGCTGGCTCCAGGCTTGCGTATGTGCTCTGTGGAGTTGGACCTCGGGTGTAGTGTAGAGATCATCCAAGAACAGCCAAGCCAGAGTTCCACCAGTGAATCTGGTTTGTTCCATTTGCAGGTGAGCTGCTGCCACAGCCCGTTAAGCTGTGGGCTGGTGGCAAACTGGAGTGAGGTGTCGTGCTTCCATTTTGGAGGTAGCGTTGCGAGAGCCCAGCGTGGTTCCTCATTAGCCCCCTCTGAGGGTATTTATCCAGGAGGAGAGGCTCAGGGCAGCCTCCGGGCTGAGGTGAACTGGGTGTTTCAGCACCCAGTCGGAAACGAATGGACACCAGGGATAAACAGCTGCCAGCAGTTTCATCTCACTGCTCCAGCTGTAAAGAGAACATCTGATCGAGGTAGATGGACCAGTTGGCCTCTTCTTATTTATGGTATTTCTTGTGTTTTTGCCTGTTGAGATTCCATAAAGGAGCCCATAACGTTATTCTCCACTTATTGATCATGGGACGTTTGAATGTCTTCATTTTTGCTTTCAAATCCCAAATTGAACGAAATGGCACTTTCGTTGTCAGTGTCAGTGCCTTGTGTGTTAATTCTTTATTGGCAGACAAGTGCCTTACACTCACCTAAGATAACCGAAAACAGACATTGATTATATTGTTGATTCCCTTTTCAGTGAACGTGCTTTGTGTTTTCACCAGAAAGGACACTTTTTTAAAAAATGTGATGCTGTTGCAATGTAGTTGTTAAGTGATGATTTTGAGGCTTGTATCATCAGTTCCTGATTTTGCAGTAACTTTATAAACAAAGGCATTTCAGGCTAGAGCCAGTTTCTAACTATATCTTTTTTAAATTTTTATTTTTATTTTTTTGGTTTGGGTGTGGTGTAAACATAGCCATTAGTTACTAGCTTGCTGCATTTGCTAGCTCTGCTGCTGGCTTCTATACTGCTGTATGCAGCGAAGGGCAAGATGGCCTCTTCACAGAAGAGTATATGGGTGGGTGAGGAACCTGATGGTGTCACGGTTTCTAAACTGCTCTGTCCAAGTCTTCAAGGCAGTGCTTGGCATCTGCAGACATGGAAGCAGTATGTGAACCATCACTGATCACATCATTTGTGGAGTCTCCACACTAATACTTCAGTAAGCTTACAGAGGATGCAGCGTTAATTGCTGTAGGAGAGCCGATGGAGAGCTTTCAGGTCAGCCAGACAGGAGTGGAGGAGGAGGGGAACCAGGCACAGCCGGGCTGTCGGGTTGATGATCACGGTTCTGTGGCCTCCCTGTTTGGTGAGGAACGGGACAAGGAGACCTGCTCGTTGAGCATTTGTCATGCATTTGTAATCCACTTGGAACTTGCATTCAGGTTTCTCAGAATCCACTTGTGTGGTGGAGAGTAACATTTCTGTGGAGAACTGTCCCTTTCTACAAAAAGCATGTTTATGCATCCTAGCTACATCTGTACATGATGAGTGTTTTTTTCACTAGCAGAGCATTTAGTTAAGGGACTATAAAGCAGTCTTTCCCCGGACTATGTCAACATGCTGATCTTGGTTAAAATGAACAATTTGTAGATTTCCAATACAAAATAAAAGAAATGTGATAGGTTTGTTGTTCTCACTAGTGACTTTCCAAAATCAGTCTTCATTGTTATTTACTTGAGTTATAATGTGCAGATATGTCCGTGCTCTTTAGGTCTATTATGAAACAAATGTGTTATGATTTGAAAGTGTTTAATTTGTTCATTTAGGTCATTATGCCATTTTAAATGGGTTTTTTTTATAATAGTATGTGAACAGGTCAGTGCTGAGATGTTCTGCTTCAAATCATGTAGAGGCAAGGTGGAGCAGAACAGTGTTCATTAGGATGGCAAATCTTTTGGTAAGCATTGAGTTGTATAGTTGTATTGAGAATTGACAATTATTATTGTAGGAATCCGGTGTCATTAATACTGTCATAAACAATAAACAAAAAATGCGCCTATCCTAAATCATTATTGAGTTTGTACTTCTCAGAATTGTATTATGAACAAGGACAATCCAAAATGGTTTTACCGTTCCATTTTCTGACTATGAAAACAAAGCTCTGTGTATTCAGGGTTTCTTTTCGAATGTCTGGTTCAAACTGCAAATTCAAATTGAAAATATTTCCTTTGTTTTGTAGCCCCAGGACTCTAGCATGGTAGTGGTTCATGCTCTAACACAGTCATCATGGCCACAGAGCCCATGGGTCTGGGGTTAGTTTTAGTGTACAACGGTAAGGCAGGCACACAGCAGTGTCTGGGATACCGACTGACCCCTGTGGCATTATTTAAACAGGCAGTGGAATGTTAAATTACCTAACAAAGCACTTGCTGAATTTCAGTAGATGATTGAGTCAAGGTAATAAAGGAGTTTTCTGGCATGGGATGCACCTGCAGTGTAGAAAAAGAACAGCTTTTGTTGCATTAATGCAAACATTTGTGAGGGTCCATACTGTAACATGACAGAGGGCAGCACAGCGTGGGAGTGGATGTTAATGGAACATCATCCTGTTTTGTGTGTGTTTTGAGAAACACTGCTGTCCCACAATCACCAGCCCCGTTAATTATTATTAATTAATTAACCAAATGTGTAGTACCCACCCGGATGATACAAAGGCAACCAGAGTGCCTCAGTATGCTCACCACATATTGGCTGTCGGTGGAGAGAAGCCAGTTCATAGATGGGGATTATTAGGAGGCCATGATTGTAAAGGTCAAGGGGAAATTTGGCCAGAATACTGGGGTAACACCTACTACTCTACTACCCCAACAGTTATGACATTTTAAAAACTTAGAAAAATAGGCTTAAGGTAATCTCAAAAATTTGTGGAATAAAAGGTCAGCACCAAAATTACTTTTGTTAATACTAAACAAGTACGATTTGGCAATTCATTACACATTTAAGGCTGGTTTCGGAATACTTGTACATCATGCTTGTGTAAATTAATGGTAGGTATTACAAGAATAATACTGATCAGTCTTTAAAAATTGGTTACGAGTAAGTACAACTGAAAATGCAATCTTGAATTTAGTGGGTCAGGGCTTTAGACTGTATATGCATGTAGTTTAATAATGAGCCAGAATAGTACTTGCATTGAAACAGCAAATGTGATTGTGATGTGCAGGCTTTGAGATCTCAAGATACACAGCTCTGCACTGTGGGGTATAACAGAAGTGTGTGAAGATACAGGTCTTCCATTCAAGCAAAACATCTGTCCTTTTGTTATTATTTTTGGACTCATATGTGGTTAACAGGCA